ACTAACATGGTGCTATGCATTAAAAAATGTGATTTGAAAAGTTGATGGGACTTAGAAAATGACAGCTAATGGTGTCTTTATCAGGCGTGGCACTAAGCTGGATTGTGGCGGAGTATGCTACTAAGTGTACTATATAAAATGTACTATAGGTCAACTTAAGGTCTTTAAAACATGGTGGCGAGGAATACTCCAGGTGATTATGATTTAGTGAGATAGAAATGATCCAGAAAGCTGTACACTGACTCAATGGGAAAGAGTGTGTCTGTCTATCAAACTGTTCAACCACTAAGTCACAAAGTCTTCTATTCTTCAGCATTAAATTTGAAAGCTCCCTTGAAAGTTATCGTACTGTAGAAAAAAGGCACTATTCATCCGCTCCGAAACTGGCTACTGAACACACGAAATCTCCAGTAATGCGATGCCAAAGCAACTTCTTCAATTCGGCACCTCGTCGTCTTTACTTTTCACTTGATGACAATTTCTCTGGGGTTGTGCCAGGCGCGTCTTTCCCTCTCTGCCTCCCACATCTGTCGCACTGAAAGTTTGATTTTTTAAAAAGTGGAAATGAACAACACCGGGTTCAACCAAACGGAGGGCGGACTGCTCAACAAGACGGAGGAGTTTTTCTGCTGCAACTTTTCATCCGTGGTGACTGATAACGGCTTTGTGGCCGCCGCTCCGGATGAGAGAAGCCTCTTCATTATGAGGGTGGTCCAGATTGCCGTCATGTGCGTTTTGTCCCTCACTGTGGTGTTTGGCATATTTTTCTTGGGTTGCAACCTTCTCATAAAATCAGAGGGAATGATCAACTTTCTAGTAACGGACAGGAGACCGTCTAAAGAAACGGAGGCAGTTATTGTTGGAGCCTACTGATTGATGAGGACCTTTATATTATTATTTGAATCAGATCTGAAGTCTGGCGGAGACAGATGCGATGATCAACTGAACAAGCCCCTGTTTTCATATTGGTATTTAGAAGAAAGCCTCAGAAATAGTCCCCTTGCGGGATGTAACTGGTGACTGGGGCTCACAGGTGTGACAACCTTATTCCTTGTGGCTTTTCAAACGCCAACAAAGACTCATTCATCTTCAAGAGGTATAAAGTCTTTTAAGCCTCTTTGTCTATTCAGTCAAGCTGTTGTAATTTCAGTAGGCCTAGTTGGAGCACCGTTTTGTCAAGCAGCATCCTTTGTCATGGAAGTGGCAAAGTCTTCGTATTTGCTGCTTAAAACGGCCCTCTCATATTGCTCATGCAAAGGAGAAATTGATGTTTAACATGAACTGTATGTTGTATGTGTTTTTGCATACAATATGCAATATAGTAATCCGTGTATTTCTCTGGATTCCCTGGTATAACTGTATGAGTGTCTGCATGGGCTGTGAAGAAAGCCCAACATGCCTTGTATCTTGTTAATTGGAGTAATTTAATTCTGTAATTAAAAGTTTCCCTCTTTAATTAAGGTCTATCTTTCTTCCATGAATATAGCCCTCTGCCAACATCATTTCAGAAAGTAAAATAATGTGCTTTAAAAAGTCCAAATAGCTATTTAATTAAGATAGTAGGCATATTTGGTAATTGTAAAAATAAATCATGTTGATGAAACAGAATGTATTATTAGTGCTACTGAATCCTACCTGAAATTGCCTCTGTTACAAGCATTTAGCCTATTCATTTAATCTGACACCAAGGCTGGATTTTCTCTGGCATACATGAGGAGAAGTAAGGGTTGAATGGAGAAGAAATGGCTTTCACACACAAAATGATTTTCCTCTCATTTGCTTCTTACATCAATAGTTTTTACATCAATAGTCTAAATGCAATTAAATTCACGCAACTGAAAAAAACATGTTTTCTAATAGCTATAGGCCTAAGCTTCTTCAAAATAATATCCTTTCATTGAATGAGGTTGTTGGATACAAAATTTGTATTTTCTTTTTGCATCAGATTTTTATACATGCAGCATTTTACATCCTTCCTCCGTCCGTCAAAGCATCTGCTGTGCTGCTCCTGGCTCACCTGGATGGCAGCTCCCCAGGGGTGAGACCAGCAGCTTCAGAAATGGCTTGTCTTGTCAAGGATGGAGCCACCGGGCAATATGCTGCTGTCTGACTAGCCACCTGTGCTCCACATACAGAGTTAAATAGTTTGAATCTTGCTTGTTTGAAAATGTCCTTCACCTCAGTTTTACTCCCCGTCCTCCCTATTTGATCCACCTGTCCTGCTTGAGAAGGACTTCTTCTGTCCGGTAATGGAGCGCTGTGGCTTGTCAAGAAACACTGACAACTGTCTGAGGTCACATACTTGATGTCCTTTTTTGCATGTGAAGTGTTGATTAAATGTTTTGTGAACTTCAACTTAATAATGAAAAAATGTGTGTAAGAAAGCAGCTGCTACAATTGAAGGAATTTGTTCATTTTGATAATAATTAGAACTTCAATGTATTTTTAGGGGTGGGCAAGACATATCACATGTACTCGGGGTGGACATAATTAAAATAACCCCTGTCCAATATAATATGATCCTGTACAGTGGCAATGGAAAAAATGCTACCTTTGTGAAGCTTACAATGTTCAGTTTCTTAAGGCCGTAGTTCACAGCGTTGCACTGGATTGCTACATGTGGTAAGATGTTGTGTGGGAGGAAATATTTGGTTCTGTTATGCAATTCAGTACAATTTAATACAACACCACCAACCTCAGTGTCTACAAAGATTGCCACACTTGAATCAACCACAGTTTCCACCTAAACTCAATGTTATAAACCTGACAAACATAGCACAGTGTTATTTGCATGTCTACTGTACTGGGTGGTATTATATTTTACATTATTGTACATTTCTTCAATCTTTTTCAAACTCTTTTTGTCTTGCCTTGTCCAAAGACTGCAATGACCCAAGTCCTATCAGTACAGATAAACAAAATGACAATTAAATTGATCTATCTATGCATGAAAATCACACAAAATAAATATTCAGTCTATATATTGATGTCTCAAAATCTAGCCAATGCATTTACCATATGTTTTGTGAACCATACTCATAAATGTGCAATGTATTTGCCACATTTTCACCTCAGGCAGGATATCTGAAAATAATCCAACAAACAATTCTGGCTTTAAAATAAAACCTCAATCTAAAATATTACTGATTACATATGTATGTTGCAGAGAGTATAGAAAACAACACAAGACGATGCAATTCTTTTGTGATTGCTTTCATTAGGGAGTGCTGGGAATAGCTCCCGGGAAAATGTTGTGGCAGTTTAATATCCAACAGAGAACAATCTTCTGTGTGCAGCTGCACCATTGTTAGTTTATCCAGCTGTGTCTCATACCCATTTATTCAGACTTGATTCTGCTTGGTTTTGGAGAGCCTGTAAGAGGTAGATGTAAACGTTGGAGATGAAAGTTCAACTGGGATACTTTGGCATTTCTGTAGGACTACTACACTGCACTGTTGTGGAGAGTCAGTTTGCTGATTGCTGAACTCACAAGATTTCACACACCTGTCAATGCTCAGAGTGATTTAGGAGATAGCACCAGCAAACAGCCATCTACACCTCTGGTACTCCTGCTGTCAAAAACTGATAGTCACTCTGCAGGGCTTGTGAGCAACCTCTCTCCAGATATTCAGGAATATGCCCATGAGCTTGACTCTGCATAACAAACAATCCGAGCCAGGGCATAAAAATTTTAAAAATATGGTCATTTCTCAACTTTTAACATTTTAAGATTGTGGGTCAAACAAGAAAAAAAAGATCACAGTTATATCGTATACCTGCAGTCTAGTTAGAGAAACCTGTATCAAGTGTAGCCAGGTCAATACAGCATCAGTGTGCTTCATCCTAGGTCTAATATGTGCTGTGTTCAACTGTGACAGCATCTGCAGGGTGTTGATTGTGGGCTAAAAGAGGCTTCGGGTCCTGGCTTGCTCTCATGTTATTGGCTGGCTAGTAGAGGTCCAGTCGATGAACTGGATAGTGACTAAAAGCTCCAAATAGCAGCGAGGCAGCCGCAATCATCTCCCCTGTTAACTCCTATTCTCCCACAGCTCCTCATACATACTTTCCCTGATATGTTCTTACTGTAGTATATTATCATCATTTGTGTAATTAAATTGTGGTTGTTTTTATATTAAATTGTCCTCCACTGTATCTCTTTCTATGAAAATAATATTTAATGAACACCACATATGGATTTTATGCTGTGGTTCCTTCAAAGCCAATTCTGGCTTGAGTTTGATCTTTAACACCTCCTTTATAACACCAGAGGGAACTACAGTTTTGAAGGTGACGTGAAATGCAGACATTTCCATCAGCAGCAATGCCTATTCAGTCTGAACCAAGCTGTCGCAGACATCCTGTGGCGTCAGGAGCAACAAGAGTAATTGTGGAAGTCAAGCTATGCAGACTGGTTTTGAAGAATGATTCCATTACCTGACATCTCTGATTCCAGTTATGGGACGAGTCATGGCTCTGTTGTACCGCTGATTGTTTCACTCAAACTTCACAGGGATTTAACATCTGAACAATCCTGCCACTAATACTTTATTGTAATCCATGTGTATGTGTGTGTGTGTGTGTGTGTGTGTGTGTGTGTGTGTGTGTGTGTGTGTGTGTGTGTGTGTGTGTGTGTGTGTGTGTGTGTGTGTGTGTGTGTGTGTGTGTGTGTGTGCGAGGGGAAACATCATGGGACTTAAACTCTGTTCACACTGTGGGGACAGAAAGCTGGTCCCCACAATTTGAACTATGTTAAGTTTAATATTTGGTTTGTTGTATCAGATTTGTTAGGTTGTTAGGTTAAAGCTGTTCAGAAGTTGTAGCTTGTGGTGTAATTTTACAGCCTGTAAATGTACTGTTTTGGTTTAGTCTCATGACTCTAATCAGCGTCATAGTCAGCTGCAGAAGGCTTTTTTCATTGAATGAATATATAAACCTACTGTACACTACACGCCCAGGACTAAATGGTAGAAAGGCAAAGTTAGAGACTAGCCAGTGAACACAAGAACCAAAACATCTAGGAGCCAGTTGTACCAGGTCCTCTCTAAATTCAAACGGGTTGCATCACACAAACTAATTCTACACAGCTAATGTTAGCCCGCTATTACACCCATTCAGAGTGACAAGTAAAAGAGATAATATGGAATATGATCAACATATCTGAACAGACACTTGATGGTGTAATAATGATGTAAACAGGGAAAATCAGATTACATTTCACTTTTCTTTTCACAAACATCTTTACTAAGATATGTGTTTCACGTTTTATGGAGCAATCTGATTTAGTAAATCATTTGTTTGATACTAGCTAATAGTTACGAAGAACTTTGGAGGGATTATACACACAAACTTAGTAATTGATTGACAAATAACTGGTAAAACCTAATCCAGATATTACCATTGTGAGTTGGCAGAGACCAAAACAGAGTTAAAACGACTATTGGACTTACATTTATTTGCTGGAAATATAGCCCAAAATCAATACAGCTCCATGGTGTGATTTTAAGCTTGTTGTGGAGTTCTGGCCACAAGTGAATTAGCTAAAGCATATTTCTGGTCATATTTTAACATGAAGGTGAGTTTAGACATGTAATGGTTATAGTAAAGGTTATGGTAATACTCCAAAGAATGAATGTAAGTGAAACAAGTGCATCTGTTTATAATATAGAACCGCTTAAAAATCAACTCTCTGTTGTTGGAGGTAATCGGGTTATTTTATTGCTGTAAGTTCAAGAAACAAATGTACTATTGTAATCAGATGGTACAGCAGATATTTGTAGATGAAATAATTTCCTGTTTGAATAATCTTTGCCTTTTTTTCACACAAGTGACACAATGCAGTGTCATTGTAGTCATTCAAATGCCTCTTTGTTGCTTTAAAAACAATAGCTGTGATGATGTGATATTGAACCTGAAATCCATTTCAGAGCGTTTCCGGCTTTATTGACCTTCTGATCATGCGGCTCTATGGCAGCTACATCAGCTTCGGCGCAGCCTCGTCTCTGTAAAGGAAAGTTTCTCCATACACCATTACCACAAAGGTAATAACCTTTTCAAGAAACCACTCAGGGCACAGATGGAGTTTCAAGTGCCTTTTTTTCTACAGTACGATAAACTTTCAAGGGAGCTTTCAAATTTAATGCTGAAGAATATGAAGACTTTGTGACTTAGTGGTTGAACACAGTTTGATAGGACAGACACACTCTTTCCCATTGAGTCAGTGTACAGGCTTTCTGGATCATTTCTATCTCACTAAAATCATAATCACCTGGAGTATTCCTCAGCCACCATGTTTTAAAGACCTTAAGTTGACCTATAGTACATTTATATAGTACACTTAGTAAGCATA